AATTATTATCTTTATTTATAGTAGAGAATAAAATGAATATATCTATCCAATCAATATAAAAGATTATTTTCTTCCAAAATAACCTTAGAATCCTCAATATGTTACAAATGTATAATAATTTAAAATTTTAAATCATTCTAGTGAAAATTATTTCACTACGACGACTGTAATTGGTTGGTTCATGTTGGTAATAATTGATAGATTGATAATTACTTTTATCTTTCATTTATAAACTATCATGGCGGTATCATTAATAACATTTTAATTTTACATGGGGGAATGTATATAGTCACTTTAATGTGTTAGTGAAACATGTTTTCAATAGAACTAGTTATATTGGGTTGAAGTGGGATTTGTTTTTGTCAGGGTTAAAAAGTAAAGGTTGCCCATTATATGGGTAACTTGTATGGCAAATAACATTTAGTTTCACTTATATCCATATTTTATTGAATTCATCATCCGACCATTTAACTTTAAGCTATGGATATGTGTGTGTATATATAATTCTTTTTATTTTAGTGCCAGCTCATTAATCTTGGCTTGATGACACAGGCAGTGCCGAAATCAAGAAGGTTCCTATTTTGACATTATTCTGTTTATTAGTAATGATAAATACAAACCTTCTTCAAGAATCTTTCTTGTTAATGAACTTTATTTAATTTTTAAATTTAGTCAAAATTTGATGTGATACATCCGAATGAAAATCCGCTTAGTGTTGCATATGTATGTAAAGCATGCATAAACAAAATACAAACTATTAAGCGAAAGGCTTTTGAACTGTGAAATTGAGAGGATTAGATCTACGAGAGTGTTAAATACAATATATGTTAGATTATTTACTTTAACAATGACCCATATAATTATAGAAAGACTTTTAATGAAAAATATTTAATGTTTATTCATGTAATTAGAGAATGACTTTTAATGAAATTAAAAAATATTTAATATTGTGATTGTTAAATTTAAAATATATTAAAAGTCATTTGAAGATTATTTTAAAGTTATTAAAATCAATTCTCTCCTTTCTCACTTCATTAATCCTTAGTTTGTGGGAGAGGAAGTAATATAAAAGAATAAAAGAGAATAGGTGAGAATTGATTTGATAATAAATAAGTAAAAAATAGAGTGAAATCAATTGAAATTTATAATTGTTTGGTAGAGTAGAATTAAGTGAGAAATAAAGTGAAAAGTGATATTTATATTACTATTTTACTATCACTTTTATAATATAGTTTGAATTAATATTTTTGGTATTGTGTAATTTTACACATTTCTTAAATTCTAAAAGAATTGCCTTAACGAAGAGAGTATAAAAAATGATGTGGAACTCACTTCTAATTCCTCATAATTCTCCTTAAGTACCTTGAATTAAATACAAATGTTTTTTTTCTTTCAAATTCACTTTAATCTCCTCTAATACATCCCCTATTAAATCACCTCAACTAAATATAGGCTAAGGATAAGTTTGACATTAAAGAAAAAGAATTTGAAATAAGAGATAATAGAAGTTAAAGTTGGTTATTTATAAAAGTATAACCTCTTTTTCTCTCTCAAGACTTCTTTTATTTTTTACATATAATTTCAAAAAAACTTGTTTTCATGAAAGAAATTGTAAAGATTTAAAAAATTGTTGAGAATCAATTAAAGAGATTTTAGCATCATCATAGAGACTAAGTAAAAGAAGTAAGAAAAGAGAGAACAACTTATTAAAATTTATGAATTGCATTATGAATTTGGATGTCTTCTAAATTTTCTTATAGAAATTATATAATATGATAGTAGTGAAAAATATGTTGTTTAAGATTCTTATAATGTAATTTTCTTATATGATAATACTATGAAATTACATGTGATCATAAAATTTACTAATAATATATACTAGGTTAACAAACACTTTTAAAAACTTTACTAAAAATTACCTAGTTGTTTGGAAATATGATATGAAATTAAGATTATTTTGATTGGTCAATGGATTGTCTGTTTATAAAACTAACAAGTCTTTTTTATTTTATTTTTTGTAACATGTAAAAAACTAAAAAACAAGAAAGGATAGGTTACATTAAATCTAACTGCATGGAAAACGAAAGTTGGAGGACTCCTCCATATTACATGCAAAGAAGAATGGTTGGCTTCCTAACAAGCCAATGTATGCATAACAAAGTTAGTTTCACAAGGGATATACTCGAAGAAAACCAAATAGTTGCACACCATAATATCCTTTATCTGTTTGATGATATCTTCGTGCTGATGTTTGTCATCGCTCTCCTATCGAATGCCATGTATGGCAAGAATAGCTCCTAGACAGTCTAATTCGCACAAGATGGTTTGAAACCCTGCATCCTAACAAAATAAAACACCTTATTCAGTGGCTAGAAGCTTTGCATAGAGAGGGTCTTCATCTATGAAAGAGTTTGTATATCTCTTTTTCCATGTGCCAACTGCATCCCCTCAAAACACCACCTATCCCCGTCCTACATGGATGATCTAACCAACTTCCAACCACATTCAGTTTGACGGATACTCCAGGGTGGACCACCTGGTATTGGACTTCCACAAAGAGTGTTTGTCGAAGAACAAAAAGTGTTGTGCAACCAAGCTAGCAATTTGTCTATTAATATATGGCACGATCCAAGGTTGATCATTGAATACCATACTATTCCTCAAGCACCATGTCCATAAAAGCAATCGTCGGAAGTCTTGTTGCCGATGTGTGAGAAACTAGTGCCTTGAACCATAAGTGAAAATCCATGATGGAGAGAAGCATGGGTGGGATATTGCTAGTAGTAAACCTTATTTCTCACGAGTGAGGTCAATCCCTCACTTCGTGTAATTAAGATGGCTTCCATTCCATGTGAGCGTCAAGAACAAGCCCCTTCCGGGGCCAGCCAGTGACACTTGAATCTGACCTCATTGGCCAACAAAGAGAAGTGCAACCCTTGCCAAATAAAGAATTTGATCGTCTCTGGAATTGGAAGCCTCCAAGTGCTCTAACCTTCTGTGAGCCACCTTATTGGAGGCAACAAGTTTAGATTTCTCCAGGTTCACTTTTAAACTAGACGCTAAACAAAATTCCTCCAGTGTCGAGGCCAGGACTTGAACTTGGCTTTCTGATGCATGGCAAAAAGTGATAATATCATTCACAAATAGGAGAAGTGAGAGAGGTGGGCCACCACAAGATAAATGATCGAATCAGATTCCATATACCATCTCTATTTAATTCATGGGTAGGAAGAGCAAGTCATTCCATGCATAAGACAAACAGATATAGGGAGAGGGGATCCCCTTGCCTTAGGCCCCTAACAAGTTCAAAGGAGGGCGACCTATTTCCATTTCATAACACTAAGAGAGAAAAAGTCATGACATCTTAGATAATAAGTTAAAGAATAAAGTAAGGGAAACCAAATCTGACCAGCGTCGTTTAAAGAAATTTTCAATATGTTTTTTCCAGGTCTAGCTTGAGAGCTAGTGTCCTTGTAGTGGACTTGTCTTTGATAATGAAATTCAGGGCCTCTTGAGAAAGAATGCTATTATTAAGAATGTCTCTCCCCCGACATAAAGCTTCCTTAGAAATGACTTTATTGGCAACGTTACACAAACTAATCGAACAAAACTCCTTAAGATTAGATGGGGTGTGTCCACCTTAGGAATTAAAATGATTAGAGTTTCTAGAAGTGATCATTAGAAAAGCCAGTTTAGAATGCCTCCTTGGCAGTATGCCACAATTCATTCCCCACATATATGTCAGTACTACTTATATAAGAAAGGCTGGAACCCATCAAGTCCAGAAGCCTTGAAGGACTTCATGCTCATCGTCGCCCAACAGAGACCTCTTCCTTAGTGACTGTTGCTAACAAAGAGACCACAACTTCCTCACTTAGTTTGGGGGGGTACACCAAAATTCATGTCTTTGAAAGGTGCCAATGATTCTTTTAAAAATAGCTCATGATAGAAACAAGGGGTTTCATGATAGAGTACTTTAGGATTGGTATGCCATGTCCTTAGGAGAAAAAGACCACATATTTTGTTATGTTGTCTACGTGCAATGGTTTGTGCATGGAAATATCTTGTATATTAATTTTTGAACCGCACCCATTTTTCCCTTGACTTTTGGCATGCCACGTTGGACTCACTAATCAGGTTGGCGTGCTCTAAAAAAGCATCATAGTAATACAAAGTTAAAGTTTTGACACATGGCAAGCAGATAAGTAAGGGACACTCTTATTGTCACAGCTTACTAAGCACTTACCCTATTAAGATAAATAGAAAAGTAACATTACCACTAAAAACAATCCACTAGAGGTAACAAGAAAATGACAATGTCACTAGCAAAAAATGACTAGGCTAGTAAGTTGTTGTATGAATGTTACTTTGACACGAAATAATGTTTGATAGATTATAAAGTGTACTTATAATCCAAATTTTAACAAAAAGAATAAAGTTACTAATGTGACACTAAATTTATTTGACTAATGAGTTGATATATTAACCGATAAATAACCTTAATTTGATAATATTTTTTTATAAGTCTCCTTTTAAATATTTTTTAAAAGTATCCATTTTAATCAATGAGTCATATACTAACATTATATTTTTTTAACATTATAATAACTAATACATTTTTTTAACATTATAATAACTAATATATGTAGCGCTTCACACTTAATTTGGTTGATTAAAAAAAGTGAAAAAAGGTGATAAAAAAATAGAAAATGAAATGATTGTATAAGAATTTTAATGCAAGACACATTAATTTCCCTTTCGTCTCTAAAAACGAACCAGCATAACGTCCAGTATTTGTTTCCATATACCGAAACGAAGAACAGTAGGGCTTCGTATGGTTGTTGCATATTTTCATATGGTTGTTTGTTGCATAATAAGAGAAACTTGATGATGAGCAGAATACTTAATTACAAAAAAAATTAATGAAATACGCGTTGATAATCTCAATTCTGCTTATTTAATTACAATTAACAGCGACATACAAAAATTAAAAATAAATAGAATGAAAGAATTATGACATACATATTACAGAATATCATCTTGTGGCGTAAAAATATCTTTTACGAACAAACAATGACTAGTACTCATTGCAACGCATTGGCAATGCTAATTTGACGCCAAAAAATAACTATCTTATAGCACAAGCAAAGTGATTTGCAATTTGAGGGCAAAACTACATATGACTTACAAATCGGTATGAGTAAAACTTCTAAGGGACCGTTCTAAGTGTTTTTTACTTTAAGTGTTTAAGCTACTATATGACAGCAACCTTAAAGAGATAAAAGCACAACAATTGCAAGCAGTAGCACCTAACTAAGAAGAAAGTCCCTCGTAAAGTGCAAAATGATCAAAAGTGTTTTGGTCTGTACATAAGTCACTGATAGAAAATGATTGTGGCTATGCTATAAATAGCCTATTCTCCGCTGAAAAAGTCCCTCAACTTGCATTGGATGCAACCTCATGAACTTCTTCATACGTGTTAGTCTCCTCGTTAAACGAGTACCTGTGTTTGATCAAAATGAAACATTCTCAGTTAGCTAAAAACATGATTTGTTATGAGGCAAACAACAAACCATTCACTCAATTGCCAGCGGTACAGAATGCAGCTAGTGTGAACTATATATGTTTATGATTTCAAGGTCCAGCTGGCATGGCATCCCCAAACAAATTGTAAGAAACCTAAATTATAGATAGTTTAATCCACCCCTTCTTTCTTTTCTAACTTTTGTTCCTTGAATAATAGAAGTGTACTGATCACCAAGCATTTTTTTTTGTCCCCAAGATCAAGATTATAGCACAAGTACCGTGTCTCTTGATATATTTTCCAACAAGAATTATGTATTTAATTGAGAATAAACTTCAAACAAAAGGACAAATAAGTTATATCCAATGCCATGTTTGGGACCCTCGTAAATAATAGAGGCCAAAAGATATCACAATAAAAGTCGACACACCACACTCTTAGATGAATCATGAATGTTCGTACCATTGCCCTGATGCTGCAGAGCAATAGAGCCCTGTATTCGGATCATAATAATAGCCCAAACTGCTGCTGTAATAGTACCTGGATCATAAAAAAAAAATGAAGTCAGATAAGCTTACTAATATATCTTTTTTAAAAAAGATTCATAAAGAGAAAGAAGAAATGCGTACAGCCATCAACTTTTGTCACAATCTCTACAGTATACTAAATTATTTTTTTTGTTTGTTTTTGATATTACAACAAAGGCAACTAATGTTGCCTCGTATCTATCAGATTATTCCTCAAACTGTAGATGGAAGAGAAGATTCATACCCAGAAGATTCATCATACACATAATCGTTCTGCGATGCTCCGCCTGGAAAGAAAAGTGGAACCATGTTAAACAAAATACTTATCAGATAAAAATCAGTAACAAAAATTCCATTTCAGATACCAATTTTAGGGAGGTGGTGTATTTACCCTCAGAACTAGAATTTATGGCACCTGATGAAGATTGACTAACTCCCTTATTTTCATCTGTAGATGGCTTACTGGCATCATGCTCATCATCAGCAAACATATCATAATCATCTGCACCATTGCCAGAGGCTTCTGCACTAGCCAAATGTTGATTTGAAGTGCCTGTGTCAGTGGCAAGTAGTCTGGCAGGGACCACACCTGAATCCAGACCACCAGAGAGCAAGTTTCCCTCTCCATTCAGATAAGAATGCCCTTCACCTGAGTGCAGGGATGTGCCTTCTTTTGCCCTGGCTAACTTCTCATATCCTTCTGAAAAAGAGAGATTATCGAAGGCACAAGCATTATGCAATTAGTACTACAAAACAGGAACCTTCATTGTTGCTCATAAACCTACATATTTATATCATCATTGAAGGAAGAAGAGCAAAGGATAACAGATATTAAATAAACTGCCCCAAAATCTAAAGCTTAATATGGAGGTCCAAGAAATAGATTTCCTAAACAGTGTATGATATTGATAATAGAGCAGCAAGTTCTTCTCACATCATGACCATGATAAAAACATAAAATGAACAGAACTATGTTGGTAAAAAACAAATAACTAAATCCAATAAAGTTAGAAAATCAATCAGTATATTCCACCATGTTGTTAATAATGTAACTAATGACAAAACATGAACTAGATGTGTGAACAAGACAATAGAACATAATATAAATAGAATAAAGCATTGTGTATAACACTGACCTGCTTCACGATTAAAAACCTCTTGCTTTTCATGATAAACATCTGAAAAAACGTAAAGGAACCTAAATTAAGCATATGAAAAAAATATGCAAAAAAAAAATGAAGCAAAACAAGTTGCATAACATAAAGGATCTCATCAGGCGATCTAAATGATTACATGTTTGAACCATGCCTAATATCTACAAAGCCCATTGAGAACAACTTAACTGTATTCACCATTCTCCATCAGCTTCATAGCATCCTCAGTAAGCTGGTCAAATACAATCTTAGTCTCAGCAGACATTTTTGCCTTTCTGTCACTATTTCCTTTTAACCTTCTCAAGGCTTGCAGGACCTATTGGAAGAATTATCTGTTAATACAGCCCAGCAAATGACCCTCAAACACCCCTTAAAAACTAGATATATTATAACTCAAGTATAATAATGATTTACACTTGGGAAGATATAAAGAGAACAAGTAATTGAAGTGATGTAAAATTAATAATGACAGTTAGTTACAAACCAAATATAACTTTCATAACAAAACAAAGTATTTTATTTTTACAAACACTATTAACCCTTTATTTAGGTAAATTGGGAATCCTCAGGTTTTTCTCTGCTAACAATGAAAGAGAGAGAGAGGTAAACCGGTATCATATCAAGTCTATAGCAAAATAGTATAACCAACTATGGAGTTAGCAGCAAATTCCATTTCTATTATTTTCTGCATTTACTTCTTCCAACTTTAAAATCACAACATACACAATCTTTATACTTAGAGTATAAACATTTTAACTACTATATATTTTAAGGATATAAACTTCCCTACAAGAAATTTCAACACTCCTTGGCCATAAATAAATCAACGTTTGCCAGAATAAATAGATGCTCTACTGCTTCAACTCGGGGGGAAGTTGGCAAAAATAAATATATTGTAGTATCTTAAAACGATGCTTCAGTAGAACAAAGACATCAAAATCAAAAATTAAGAATGATAAAATATAGGCTTACCGTTTCTCCAGGTTCTAGAACATTTGCAATGCGCCTCTTCATGGCTCCAATATCTTTAGAAGAAAGCTCTGTGACCTCATCTTCTTCCTTTGTTGCTACAGAGCTTAATGCAGCATATTTTGGATCAACTTCAATATTATCAAGCCACGCATCCTGTAAGGCTCCTTAATTTATTAATAGAATTCAAATGAAATAATCACAAATCAAATTTGGAAAAAAACAGAAATCCCTCACCTTAATCTCGTTCTCTCTTACATATTCAACAAAATTTCCTGCTGCATCAAAATAACCTTCTTCCCTTTCTTTATCTAGGTTGAAAGGCTCAATTTGAATCCCATCATCAACAAAATTCTCGTTATCCTGCCAAAAGATATCATATATCACTGCCTGCCTATCCTTTATGTGGATCCAATAACAGATCATTGCACCAATACCTTAACTATAAAAAAAAATTTGCTTCCAATTAAGGAATGAATCATACTACAAAAATACATTTGAACAACAGCCTACATGCTACAAAATTTACAAGCATACAATTCATACCACTAGAATCCATGAGAAAACACTCCAAATAAAGAATATATTAATTTAGATAAAAAGTTCATTCAAGTCAATAAGTCAAGGAGAAAATTCAAAACAAACCTCATATCTCATTTCAGCAGCCGATAAGTTATTTAGGATACCTCCAGTGTCCTCACTAAAGAGTTCAGCAGTAATTTGATTTCTTTGTTTTGCCCGTTCTTTGGCAGCTTTTGCAGCAATTTGAGGATTCGTCAAGTCAACTCCACCGTCCTCAACATTTTCTTTTTCCAACACTTCATCTCCTGACTTCACTTTCTTACCCTTTGGAAACCTAACCCTTTTTGCTCTGTACAAATTTATAAATTCAATGCAACCATCTTAAAATTCAGCTCCACAAACTCATCATAACAATCTCAAAAGCTAAAATCCACACGAGGGGACACACACACAAGTTATTACATAGTATTCATACACAAATATAATGATTTTCACGTAAACTCTCTTCGAATAATGCCAAACTTTGGGGCAAAAAAATTGAACTAGATAGCCGTAAGAGGGAATCCGCAAGATAATAATCCCCAAATCAAAATAACACAGAAGTCAATATGTAATAAACTACCGGTTACTGGAACTTTCTCAATAGCAATGAATGAGATTAGGGTTTGTGAGCGACAAGAGGGAGAAAGGAAATTACGGTGGCTTTTTGCTGAATTCGTCGTCTTCTTCCATTAAGGGGCGTTTAGCGCTATTGCGAGATGATTCTGCCGCCATTGATGCTGCCGAAGAATGTTTAGAGAGCTTCTACACACAGACACACAGAAGAAGAGCTTCCCCTTCTCTTGCCATCTCTTTGTTCTTATTCTCAAAAAATAAATATTTTAATTACACTATTAGATTAAATATGTTTTTTTTTGTTCGTCCCTAGAGTATCCAGGGACTAATCTCCTCGGTGAGATAGTTGGCCCCAAGATTTAACGCAGCTGCATACATAAGGCAGGATTTGAACCCCTGACCTTGTTTAAGGGTGGATCAACCCCTACCGCTGAACCACACGCTTGAGGTTTTTACAAATTTTTACTTGAATTTTAATATTAATCTTTCTTAGTTTTTAAATTTTATTATTCATATTAGTGGATCAAACCAATTTGTATTTTTATAATTACAAATTTTAAATAAAATAATAACTGAGATTAATAATAAAAATAGTTAATAAAATAATTAAATTTTCATATTATTTAAAAATTTAAAGATAATTTTATTTAAAAATATATAAAGACGAAAAAATAGTTATAAAGTCATGTATTTTCTTTATAAATTTTTTATTTTTGTAGTTAAGTATTAATATGTCAGTGCTATCAATTATCACGTCATCAAAGTGTACTTTTTAAATAATTTTTAATTGATTTTAGTTTCTTATTTTTTATAGATTAATTTTTAGTCTTTTAATATTATTTTGATCCTTTTTTTTTTAATTCCTCTTATTAAGTATCGTGGTTGAATAAAGAATGAGTTTGAAAATTTGAAAGAAAAAAAATAGGCAATGCAGTGTACAAAATCAACAATCCACTTAATTATAATCTAAAACACATAATCAACTTTCCCTCAAAAAAAAACACATAATCAACACTTTAATAAACATATTAAATTTGTAAAAAATAATTAATTTCTTTTATAATTTATGTAATTCTATTATATATACTAGAAATATAAAAAAAATTGTGACCATGAATTTTATTAATATTACAATAAAGACAAATCGCATATATTAAAGACACTTTCACTAATATTTTTTTAACACTTTTTTTACTATTGATTAATTGATGGAGCTTTTATCTCATATAATAAATTTCTCTTGAATTAATGGGTATATTAATCAAAATTTATAATTTTTTAATAAATTTTGATTAATGATAAAACTTCTCTTAAATGAGTGGCGATCTTAACTAAAAATTTTAATTTTTAATAAATTTTAGTTAATAATAAAAAGATTATTAAAAATAATGTTTGAAAATGTATCTCATAATGTTGTAAACATTTTTAGTATCTGATTTTCATCCCCACCCCCCAAAATGCCCTTCCTCTTCTGATTAAAAAAAATTACAGCAACGTGTTAGTTATTTGCTTTGAAATTTCTAGCCATAGTACATTGTTGAGCTTGCTTCCTATTCTAGCCATATGCGCTTTGAATTTTAATCCTATTTAGTGTCCTTTTTTATGTCATGAATTTATTATTCGGTTGTCCCTACAAAGCTGTGTGAAAAAATTATGTTACTTAATTGGGTATCAGAATTCAAGTGTTGGTAAGTTGGTATGGTACAAAAGTGTGTTTGGCTTATCTTTAAGTGGTAACCAATCTACAACGTTATCATTGATCTTCCTCGTAGTAGAATTTGTTATTTTTGTTCATTTATTGATAAATTTCATTAATTTTTACCTAATAATATAATTCATTTTTGTACAGGTAAGGGCGTTTGGCCACCACATAACCGAAACCCTATCGGCCACCGAAAGGCGAAATCTGGTGGCCGACACCCAATTAGGTCGGAGGGTGCGTGCGATGGTCGAAGTACCAACACCCCCAGCTTGCTTGACTTGCTTCACCCGCGCGACGAGCAAGTTGCGAATGTTAAGCTCATCGGCACCACTGGCAACCATGATTCCTGCAAAAAGGGTTAAGTAAACATCAATAGGAATTAAGCTTACAGCCGAAACGGGACAGATAACATACTTATCAGATCGTTCTCCCAACGTGGAGATTCAACCAAGTTAATTAAAGACCTAGTCGGCAAACGCCAAGGAAGACGAAGTAATAACTTCAGGTCCTTTCGCTCTTCGGCTGAAAGCATTTTCTTCGGTACTACATCGTAAGGCCGAGGGGCACGCGTCCAGTACAAAGGAAACAGGCTTCTATCATTCTCGCCAAAGAAGAAACGTCTGCCATTCGGACGGATGGTCACTCGGAAAAATTCAGCCTTAAAATTCTTGTATGAGGAAGTAAAACTATCCAATAACTGCCGATCCCCCACTCGGCTCAATGAGAGCCACTTAGCCAATACAGAAGGCCTGGACGAGTAGAAATAGAGAAAAAGGAGTGGAGAGGGCCTTAATGCAAATGCACCTGCACAGATGTTTGAAGCCCTGTAATTGTGCCCAGCTGTTCAGGTGCAATTGGGTCGGGGCGACGTTCAATACCCTTAACACCCCCATGGTAAACTCGTCAAATGGCAGTTTCACCTTGAGATCCCGAACGAGGCAGTCATATATGTAGAATGACTCCATCTTCGCACCACTATGGTCAAGACAAACTGTATCGGGATTCGGAAAGGCATCGTTTCGGCACGACCGAACCCCGATCGGATATGGATCCTCCTTGGCATCAAAAGTTAAGCAATTTGTATATTCCAGGAGATTCGTGATCATGGTCGTGTCTCGGTAACGCGAGTAGGAGGAGGTCACCTCCCCATTCACCCATTCGTAGCCAGGTAGGTACCTCGGACAGACCATACTGTTGCCGATTCGACACACGCTTCGTTTTCTCCTGGACCTCGAGACTCCCACTAGTAGAAGTCTCCACCGAAGATGAAGCACTTCCATCCGGCCTTTCGGCATGAACTGGGGACCGAACCAGACTAGGGCAGCTTGAATCACTGGACGAGGACCCCTCGGACGACGATGACCGAGAGCTGCTGGCCGAAGAACTTATAGAAGCATTAGCCATGACAATGAAAACTTACCAAATTCTTCAAAGTACAACCACAATCGTTCGGCACACTTGAGTCGATTTCGCAGAGCTTCGGCTAATGCAATTCGGCTGAGAGCAATACGTGCGAATGGCCCTACCACCCAACTATATATATAGCCCCAGAAAAGGGCGAGAAAATTCAAATTTTGAAAAGTGTAACCGTTCGATCTCTAAGATCCAACAGTAGGAATTCTGAAACCGCTCGCCTTACCCTTAACAACAACCTCCATTCTACCCTTGAAGAAGGACTCGTCCTTCTCCAAGGCTGGGGGGCAAGTGTACAGGTAAGGGCGTTCGGCCACCACATAACCAAAACCCTATCGGCCACCGAAAGACGGAATCTGGTGGCCGACACCCAATCGGGCACCAGGATCGGCCTACACTCAATTATTACCCTTAATCAATAATTAGGGGTTAATTACACCGATAAACCGATTAGGGCGTATTACCTAATACGATAAGCATGTTGTAGGGCCCATGGGGTTCAGGGCCCATAAATGTCAGTATAAATGGCTCATGTTACAAGGTAACGTCACTGTTCATTAATTACCATCGATATTCGTGTTTTTCCTGACTTGAGCGTTGGAGTGCCTTTTGCAGGTACCAACCCCTTCACCGGAATATTTGATCGGAGCACTCGTTCAACCCTCAGAATACGAGAAGATTACTGGCATATCCTTTCGACAGGTACAATTTTCAATTTAGCAACATCCCAATGAAATTAAAAAATTGTGTTACAAATAATATAAACAAATAATACTATTTCTAATAAATGCAATTTACTAAAGAATTATCTAAACACAAGGAAAAGTTAGAAACAATCCACACCGTCATAGACTCCAAAATACAACTTTCTTTTATCTATGTAAAATTCCACCAATCCAATCCTTCCTGTGCGTGACATCATTCGAGATTGGTATAAAGAAAATATAGCACTATGAGCAAATAAAGTTAAAAGATGTTGAAGTTGTTAAATCTGAGGTTAGCATAACTAGCACCAACATAAGCATTAAGCAATTCATTTTGTGCAGACCAAAACTCAGCCTTAAGACCCGCTTTTCTCACTGCTTTCAGGATTTTGTTCTTGTGTGTGTATCCAGTGACTACAACCTTCTGGCTGTTACCATCCACTTCCACCTTCTCTATCCCTGCACATGGATTCGTAGCCAGTACAAAATATTAATTAATTCAACTTATAAAGTACCAAATAAGAATGATTATGGCATGTAATGATTTACATCAACAACAACAAACCAACCTTTCAATTTTGAGAGACATTTCCTTAGTCTTTTCTCGTGTATCCCAACCATCTCCACTTTTAACTCAACAATCTGCAATGCAATGCAAAACAGTATATGTGTGTTGATTGAGGATACCCTCTTTCATTCATGATCTAATATTGAATCTTCTATGATAATTCTATTAACCAAGAACACCCCATATTTCATAATTGCCAAAGATGCAGAAAATTGAGACAATAAAGTATAAACTACTAGAGCTATGTAAAACCTAAAGGAATAATACCTCCATGAAAAATGCTCTGAGGAAATGGTGCTACAAAGATGATATGTGGTGGGGGGAGACAAGGCAATGACAATGAATAAAGTGAGAAAGAATGATCAAGAAGCAGCAATTGAAATGAGGGTAAATCTAATTTGAGTGATAGTGTACTATATATAAGAGTTAGTAGGCAAGTAAAGCTGGAAGATACATTAAAGTGAAGAATGTCTTGGGTTTTGAGTTCTTATAGTAAGCACAAAGCAAAACCATATGCCTCGAGTCTTTGACAGCCAACAGGGACAAAAGCACATTGATCTTTAGAATATGCGGCTCAAGATATGAGGCTTTAGGTCTACTCAAAGCAATGAGTACATGAGAATTTGAAATGATTGGCTTTGACAGGTTCAACTTGGCATTTTCGCCCCTTTTGACCCGTTTGAAAGAAACAAAATGGATGTAAAGAGCAGCATTCTTGGTTTTGATGATAGATGAATGTTGAATCTGACACACATAATCTATGTCGAATTTATCAATTAGTACATTGAATTTGATGAATGGATGGATACATGTTTAAGTGTGCTTCTTAATATACTAAATACAAAACTTATTTTAAATAGTGAAAATTAAAGAACAATTCTACATTGTACACATTGCATATGCATGAAGAGGCTAGGCTAAAAGCATAGTAAAGTTGAGGATCTTGAATCTCTTTTGATGAGTTGGATCGGATCTTTTACTCTTTGATCTAAAATTCTTGAAAGAAGACAAGTTTACATTTTGTCCGGTTACTGTTAGCTTCTACCTTTGATTTGAAATGACTCTGTTCCAAATATCAGTCACCATGTTATATGTATATTTGTATGCTAGATTATTTTCAAGGTTAGATGACCGAAACTACTTTGAAGAGGATAGACTTAATTGTGAGAGATTGAGTAAATAGATCTATTAATAATATAAAAGAAATAAGTTCTTAAACAATTCTCTTTCCTCCAAAGTAAAATAAAAAGAAGAGAATAAATATTATTTATATATTATATTTTCATAAAAACAGATATTTTTAATAATTAAAACAAATACATATCTCAAAATGTATTTCAATTTGAGCACTGGCCAATTCGTCATAATTATTATCACTTTAGTTTTGTTAATATTAAATTTAATATATTTATTTAAAATTAAAATTTTAATAATAAATATCAAAATATAAAAGTAATTTTAGTTTTGATAACGCCACAATTCTTAGTGATATTAAAATATATCAAAAAAAATATCTTTATCAAAATCAATTGTTAATTTTTTGTTTATAGTTAATTCTTACTAATTAATAATGTAACATTTAACAATTTTTTATAAAATATTTTGTGTAATTGTAATATTTATGATCATGTCATGTCCTGGTCAATATTGTAAGCACATAAAATTGGGTGACCTAATTTTTAAATTCAGTTTTATCAAGTTAGTTTTTAGTTATATATGAATGATATTTTTAAGCCTTTCAACCTTATTAAGCTGGTTTTTAGTTATATATGCATGATATTTTTAGATTGTTATAATAATGTACAAAGATGGTGTTGACTTTACTTTAATCAGTTAAATTAATGAAAATAAATTATTGAGACCGTTTATTTGTCTTCAAAATTTGATGAATCATGTACTCAGACTTTAATTTGTCAAGTATAAAAAAAATATTTAAAAATAAATTTTCTCATAAAATTGATGAATATATTAAAGTTATTATTGTTTAGTACATATATTTATCTATATTTAATATATAGGTTAGTTTGATAAAAGTTAATTAATGAATTTAAAAATTATTATGCAATTAGTAGTCTTATAATATTAGAAATGTCAATTTATATACGTATACTATTTTTTTTTACTATTATATTATTATATTTTCACATTTTGTAGAAAGATTATGTTAAGCCTCTAACCAATAAAATTATTATATTTTTCAATGATTTGTCTTCAATCTATAAATTCACTTAGATCTCAACCAATAAAATAATATAATTTTAAAATAATTTTAAACATTAATTTTATTTTAGTTTATTTTTATTCATGATTTCAGTTTAATTTTAGAAGTTTAAAAACACATGCAGCAATATTTTTATTATTATATAATATAAACAAAATGAGTTTTTAAGTGTTTTTTAAACAAATTTAGTTCTTACAGCAGCACCTCTGGTGATAACTTCCAAAGGTTTTATCATTGAACTGTTTTCGTAATTTGACACAATATTTTCACATTTTTATGAGCTCCCTAATATACAGTCCAGCATTGCTCCCTGCATTATTTTCTTAGGTGTATAAGCAATGTATACATTTTAACTTGCAAATTCTACAGATCAGAGCTCTAACAGTGGCAACTGGCAAGCTATGTGAAACATGTGACGAATGCTAGCCACTCTTCTTTCAGTCCAACAGATGAAGATAGTAAATGCAGATTTGGAATTTACAAAAGGCAGAGCAAACATTATTTCAATAGAAAGGGAAAAAATGAAGGCATATTAATGCTCATGGGTTTCCAAATATTGTAGAAAGGATACCTTCAAATGACCACTGGCCAACTCCATCAGCCATGGACTGAAATAAGAGTGGCTAGCATCCGTCACAAGCTTCACATAGCTTGCCAGTTGCCACTGTCAGATCTCTGATCTGTAGAATTTGCAAGTTTAAATGTATACATTGCTTATACACCTGAGAAAATAATGCAGGGAGCAATGCTGGACTGTATACCAGGGAGCTCATGGAAAAATGTGAAAATATTGTGTCAAATTATGAAAACAGTTCAGCGATAAAACCTTTGGAAGTTATCACCAGAGGTGCTGCTGAAACACAATCTCCAGGATCATCTGCAGTTTTGGTTGCTCATTTTGATGGACAGGTAAATGACTGACTGTTTTAATGGTTTAAATTATAACAGATTAATAGTGTGTTTGGGTACAAATTTAGAAGAGTCTTTTAGAGTTTCTCTTTTTTTTTTTTTTTCCAGTAAAGAAATTCTCAAAAGTTAGTATTCAAATAGCTTTAATTTATGTTTTCTTAAAGGGAAATACTATTTTCGTTACTAGTTTTGATTATAATCGAGTGATTAAATATTTTTTAAGCTACTACAAATTACATGGTGATTTTTGTTACTTGATTGAAAAAGTTTAAGAGGGGAGAAGTTGGTAAACTATATTATCATTATTAATATCTTCAATTCACTTTGCGCTAAGCATATCAGTGTTTTGTTTTGAAATAATATTTATGCAAATGGTAGTCCAAGCCATAGAGACATAATGTACATTTTCTTCTACTGTGTGATGACACAGAGATGTAAACTATAGTTCCTTCACACTACACAAAACCTTCACCACTAACCTGCTACTGCTAGCTCACACTTGGCTTTTGGCTATTAACAATGTTTAAGTGAAACTGAGGATAGTATCATGGAAGTTAATTGCTTCACCCTTCTCAAGTAATAACTTATAAACGCATCATGTTTCTGCAGATTATTTATAGGTTTCTTGCCAATTGATATTATTAAAAAATTAGCCATAACATTTATCAACCCTGATGTTGCAGAAAAAAATCAGAAGATTGTAGAAGTAGGTGGACTTACGTCCTTGATTAGACAGCTTAAGAACTCACATGATGAAACCACACAGAGAGTTGCAGCAAGCACCATAGAACCGAAAGATTGAATTAACAAATCATCTTGCTGCTTCATTGCAGAGAGGTAGAGGTATTGCTTTGTAATGAAGTTAGAAAACTTACAGACTTGTAACAAATTAATTTCCTCATCCTTCATATCATGAGCATTATTTATTTTAAATTTTTGGTTAATCCTCATGTCTATTGATGCATTTTGCTAAAAATTAAAAGCCAAAATAGTCTACTGGCTTGAGAAAAGAAAAATAATGAACACATGAAATTATAGGATTTTGACATACGGTGACATACAATATTTATCATTGAAGCAAATGACAAAATATAAATTTATGCATTTGTTTACGTTTGGCCAAGTAAAATACATTTGAATTTTGACAATAAGGATTTTGACATTTAAATATACCTTTTAATACTTTGTAGTTCTTTTATTATTAGTTTAAGTAATTTCCATACAAGGTATTAACTCTTTTCCTTTCTTTCTTTCATTAGGTGTGACAATATGGATGACAACTGAAGTTGTTTACCAGTTTCAACATAATGTATTCCATCTTTCATGTTGCTTTGGAGGAATTGTAAAAGATTTAGTTTCAAAGTTTTTTAATGTTCTAGTCAGGATCAAGTTGTTTAAGGTGTTGTGTCATTTAGAATCCCATTGTTTTAGAATGCCTTGCAGCACTTGGTTTTAGAGAATACTTTGCTAATAAAATGTTTTGATGCTTTCTTCCTATGTATGATATGCTACAAGGCTTGTGTAGAAAGACTCTTCTAAGGTTTCAAAATTAATACATAACCTTTCAACTCCCGGTACATTTATTGGTGTGAGAAAATATTAGTATGAAGATACAATATCAAATTGTTTTCAATTTATTTATGCGAAACTTCTTGAACACGTTATATATAAATCAGCATAATACTTAGATTTTTTGTATGGAAGGACTAAGATCAAGTTGTGAATACCATAAAAGATTTGGTGATAATGTTATGGTTCTATTTATCATTGATGCATATAAGCGAATCTTTGATATGCTGGCTAGAACTAAAAATTATATATATAACTAGTTTTTAAAATGAAGATTGTTGGTTGAAGTGTTGTAATTTTTTTCTTTATGCAAATTGTGGAGAATCACAATGTAATAATTAGTAATTATATATAGTTTATAGGCACATATATCTTATTTATGGGAAACAAAATATGCCCTACAAGTAATATTAATGTAGAAAGAATCTAAAAACAAGCATGCTTTTTTTTTAAAAAAAAAATGTAATTTACATCGATTTTTTAAAGAACTGATGTAGATTTATGTATAAAACTACATTAGTTTTTCTGAGAACCGATGTAAATTTATACATAAATCTATATCAGTTATTTAAAAAACCGATGTAGAATACACATAATCTACATCAGTTTCAAAATCGATGTAAAATTGTATACATTTTCTAAGTCGCTCTATTCTACATCGGTCTTAGAACCGATA